AATCAAAAACTAAATATAATATATAAAATTAGGCTTGGCTTTTATCAAAATATTATCAGAGCCAAAAAGATGAGGGAATCCAGAATACTACGCAACAAAATATAACTTGAAAACTTATCCAGAACACCTAAATCAAGTCAAAAGTTAACTTAGGATTACTGAAAAGGTTAAATTTAGCATTATTTTGAAGAACTACCTTCAACATTCAAAAGCATAACTATCAACGCAAATTTGTTCCAGGAGTAAAATGCAAATATTCAAAGAATTATTTTTTTACGATTTATTGGGTAAAATGTGGTTGATGACGTAGTTAAAAAAATGAATAAATAGATGAAAGATATATAATATTTTGTCGAATTTAAAGATAGACGTGACTCCTTGCTTCCAAAGCTATAGTTAAGTCTCTTTAAAATTAAATTTTAAATAGATATAAAGCAAATTTCTAAAATGTCATTTTGAGAATCACAGTATCATCACACATAATTTCAGCGCATCAAATAACGCGTGTCTAGATCTTTAAACTTTTACTTAGATCAAAATTTTACTTCCAGGGGGGGGGGGCACGAGTAAGGAAACGCATTTGGTGTCGAGACTTGGTGTAATAGTAGTACTAATATAAGGTGTTCAACCCTCAATGTAATTCCACCGAATGGCCAATGAATTTGGAGAAAATAGCCTTCGAAATTCATGCTTAGCTTTTATTTAATTAAGTTTCAATTTCCCCCAACGATTCCGTCGTCTGCATACTATGCGCAGTCGTGGTTCAATTCATCGATCAACTTTTTTTTTCATTTAATTTATTTATTTTTAAAATTAAATAGATTTATTTTTGAAAGGTTTATTTGAATTAAAGGATATTTTAAATACAATTTTTTGTATTTTATAAAGAAAAAAAATTAAAAAATTTTGTTATTTAAATTATTTATTATTAATTAAAAATATTCAAAATTATTATAAATTAAAAATATTTAAAATTATAATTAATAAAAAATATGCAAAATAATTATTGATTAAAATTATTTTAAATAATTACTAATTAAAATTATTAAAATAATTATTGATTAAAATTATTTTAAATAATTACTAATTAAAATTATTAAAATAATTATTGATTAAAATTATTTATAATAATTATTAATTAAATTTGTAATAATTTAAAATTAATTAATTAATATTAACAAGAATTATTATTAATTTATGATTAAAATTATTATTAATTTATTATTAACATTATTAATTTACTATTAAATTTATTATTAAAATTATTAATTTGCTATTAAATTTATTATTTACTAGCTGGTATACCCGTTCTTCGCACGGGTGAACTGAAAAATTAAACAACACAGATTGAAGGATAAAGAAGTTTATAATGAGTTAATTTTACGTGAATTGCAAATTAAACAAAAAAAGCTTTTTTGCGTAGCTCAAAAAAAAAACAAAAAAAAAAGATAGAAATAAAACATCTTTTTTAAATTTTAAGTATGTAGATCTAATAGTTGATAAAAAGGATATTTTTTTTATTTATAACTCCCCTAACACTCTTGAGGGTCGATTTTTGAAAATACCATCCTTAGCTGATCTCTGCTCAGCAAAAGAAACACATTGTTAAAAGTTTTGTGTAATGAACGCTTAAAATAGTGTAAATAATTTTTATCTGAAAGTATAATACATTAATATTACTTTCTGTAGTATTTATTTTATGTTAAAATTGTAATATTTGCAAGCAACGGCGTTTATTAAATTATAATGACGATTCAATAAAAAACATAGCGAAATGTTGACGATAGAGTCAAGTTGGCAAATGCCTAGCTACTTTCGTAGCTCGAGCTTTATTAGAGCTTTGTAAGACCCGCCGTGTAGGGGTGTAATGCACGTTAATACTTTATCCAACCGCATTATGGTTTACTGCAGTTTTTTCATGCAATTTTTTTTTGGATCACTGCATGTACAAATTAAGGGATATACATAAACAAAATACTCCACTTTGGAAAATTTAATCCGTTAGAGCTAATAAATTAGTTAAAGATATTCCACTGTAAAATTAATTATGTACGCCGTTCACTTAAAATAAGTAGTCAAATCATTTTCTAAGGTCTTCATTAACATACAAAAACATAAGACATTTAAATTTTGACAAACTATTTTTTCCGTTAAAATACTCATCATGGAACCCGTGCTGCCATATATCTTGGAAGAGTGGATTTAAAGAATATTCATGCTAATTATTGGTAGAATATTCCTTCTAAGTTGGTGTGGTGTGGTAGTTAGGAGAAATGGGTGCCAGCTCAGATGTTGTCCAGGTTACTTGACTATGGTTCAAAATTACGTGATCCGTTGCCAAAATCCTCGTGTAGCTGAACAGTGCAACATTAATATTCACTCACTCTCACACTCCAAGAAATACAGAACAATATTTATTGCGTTTTTAAGTGTAAAAATAATTATATCTGCCTATTCAATTAAAATTATAGCGTTATAATTAAATATTAATCACAAATAAATTTTTAAAATTTGTCCAAATGATGCAGTGTGAAAGAGAAAGCTTATTTACTTTAAGTATCAGAACTGATAAAAGCATTTATTTGGAAAAAGATCAATTTCTTACTACCAAATGTGCATAATAAGATGTTTAAAAAACATTAAAATAAAGAGATTTATATTAACCTCTCCCTTCAAAACTTAGTTTGATTCTGAAATAAAAAAAAAAATAGGCATTATATCAGAGGAATTAATTAGAAGCGAGCACCTTGCGTAGCCAAAACAAAAAAATTTTCACAAACAAAAGATAGATATATGCAGACGTCGTTTTTTTTGCAGCGCATGCCAGAATTGCTAGCAGAAGACAGAATTTTTTCCTACTTACTTGACAAATATTGTTATATTTTTGACACTTTTCCCAAATCTTTATAAATTATAGTCTATGATATAAATTATAGCCTATATGCTATTCTGATGTATAAACTATATTACTGTAACGTTTCATTAAAATCCATTCAGTAGTTTTTGCGTGAAAGACTAACAAAGATTTTCACAAACTTTCACATTTATAATATATATTAGATTATTAAATTTAATATTAAGTATTGAAATTATTATTAATTCATTATTAAATTATTATTAATTCATTATTAAAATTATTTAGATAAATTTATTAAATCATTTAAATTTATTTAAAAAAGACTTATTAAAAAAATTAAAAAATAATTATATTAATAATAAATAAAAATGCATGTTTTTTATTTTATTTATTATAAAATAACTAATTTAATATTAATATAATATACTTTTAAATTATTTTTTATTATTTATAATATTTTATTTATATTATATTGTGTTTCACATTATAAAACTATTTGCAACTAATTTTTATGTTTAATATCGTTTAATATTTATTTAATATATTTAATGTTAAATATTATTTATTAATATAAAAATATATTTATGTAAAAAGAATAATATAAATATTTATATAATTACCGTATTTTTTTAAATTTATAAAATGCAAAATAATTACATAAAATATCATTTAATATCAAATAAACCTTTCAAAAATAAGTTTATTTAATTTTATAAATAATTAAATGGAATGATTAAAAATGTTGATTTATGAACCGAACCCTGACCTCGCCCATAGTATGCAGATGATAATCCAACCAGGCTGTGGAATCGTTGGATGAAATTGAAACTTAATTATATATAAAAGCTAAGCATGATTTTCCAAGGCTTTTATCTGAGAATTGACTGGCCATTCGGCGGAATTACATTGAGGGTTGAACACTTTAAAGCAGTACTACTATTATACTAAATATCGACCCCAAATTAATTTCCTTAATCTTGTCCTCCCCTTGTTAGATATATTTACATAGATTTTTCTTTTAATACGTTTGCAATTAGACTAGTGTGTTTCAGGGGAGAACATTATAGGATTTTAAGGGAAATATTATATAGATTTTTGTAAAATATGTAGACCTAAGTACATTCTTCACATCCAAAATATTTGAATTATTATAACAAATAATTTAAATATTACGAAAGATTCACTTCAGTTCTATTTATTTAACATGGAACATAACAAATATTTACTTATATGTGAGTCGTATTTTAATCGCTAAAATGAATTCTAGCAATCAAGTTACATAAGCATCAGTTCATGTATTTATCACGGAGAGAAAAATCTGCTTAAATATATCACTCCTCTTTTACTTCCATTAAATTAAATTCCACAAATGGGAATCCCATAGCAAAGGCAAGATTAATTTTTTTTGTATCCAAATTTACATATTTACAGTTATCATATTCTATGCAAATATGTACAGGCGAAATCATTTCTATATTAATGTATTTTGCAAGGTTGATTAATATAATAATTGAGGCTCTAAGTAACTAATGCCCATTTGTCTTTGAAAAATGTCTCTCATTCAATATAATCTAAAATACCCTTATGTAAAAGTTTTTCTTCCATAACTGTCCTTTTCAAATGCAAGTTTCTTTTTCAATGTACCGTATGAATTTTATTCTATAATGTTTGGAAAACTCATCATAATACAAAATAGTTTTCAAGGACTTTAGTCTTTTGCGAATGCATCCCATAGCCAAGATATATTCGAAGTGAATTTTTCTAGTCATCAATCATTCAAAACTAGAAAAGATATGGCACCTCTGCAATATTTGCAGTCTATTTCGAAATGAAATAAGAAACCAAGTTAGAATATCTCAAAAATTTTCTCTGATCATGGAACTTTTAACATTAAAATTTTGTGATAAAGCAAAACACTACTGATTGAACTGTACACAATTCAGGTTTTCTAGAACTGGACAGGGTGCATCGATTTTTTGTTTTATGTAAACAAATTTTTACAGAGTTTTTATTACTATGAACGCTGAATAGATTTTTTAAATTTGGTTTAAGTATATAAATTTTTAAAGTCAGAAGAAATGAGAAGCAAATTTCCCGTTGCATTCAAAGAATCGTATTCAAATAACGTACGAAAATAAACAATCCGAACTGACAACACCGGTTCTTATCCGATCACCAAAGTTAAGCATCGTCGGATGCGGTCAGTACACGGGAGGGTAACATGCTGGGAACACTGCGGGCCGTTGGCACTTTTTTTCTTTTGGCCGCGGTAGCTTAATAGACAAGTTAATGAATCATGAGTTCGTCTGAAGACCCCGTAAGGGCTGCTCCTGTGGCTTAGATGTAGCGTGCCCGGTTCGTAAGCCCGAGGTTCCGGGTTCGACCCAGGCTGGAGTTGATAGATTTTCTGGATGTGAAAATCGTAGACATTCATGTCATGTGGCATGTAAAAGACCCTTGAGTATCAATTTGGCTCTGATACTCTCGGCAAAATAAAATCATGGCAATATATAGCATCCGATGACGGCTTGAGTTAAAAATTAATTCGAGCATCCAGATTTGGTAAAGCGGACGCCTTTATATGGTGCCACTATGAAATGGTTCTCACATTTAAGGACTTGCAAAATCTGCACATGTTAAGTTGCTAAAAAGCAGCTCCATTAGAAAAATAAGTATTTAATTTTAATCTTTCTTCTTGTTTTTTATAACTTTTAAAAGACAACGATGTTTATCAAGTTGTACGAAACGAAATTTTTACAGAAATCGAAGATATATGGACGGGACAATTGTTCCATTAAGAGTTGATAAAATTAAGTTAAAGAAACTAATTTGAAATTTTGGGAGTGACGTTTGTAAAGGGATATATTTAAAACTGCTTTTTCAAACTTTTAAAGACTTAATACTATATAATTTTTAATGGAGCCTCAATGCTTAAGGAGGAGAGGATGAGTTGTTCACAATAATTATGTTTACATATCGACAGAAGGCACACTCACACGCATTCCTTTTCAAATTCTAGTGAAACAAATTCGCAAACATCCGCCAGAATGTATATTGAATTTCTTTAAAAAGTATACAAAGAACACTCACAAAATGCCAACACTTCTTCCACGCCCGACGGTACATAAACATTGAAAGGGGATGTCACGAACATATCTTCATTGCACAATTCAATAAGATTTAAATGATTCCATAACTTTAGCTTATGGCTTGATTATAAATAATTTTTTTTAATTTTTCAAAGCGTTGATTCGAAGTTTTTGTCTATAAAACCTGGACTTTAATAGATACCTACGAAGATAATCCTAAATGAGATCTTTAAATCCCGCGAGCTAAGTGTCATTAGCAGAGATATATCAAGAAAGATTTTGGAAATTTTATTAGTGATTCCATATCCGCATTCAACACTACGTATAGTCCACTTACGGAATTATTGTGTCTGTGATTTAACTTCATTTTATGTATAAAGTTGTATCTTTTCAATTATCATGTTTGAAATGTAGCATAAAGTTACGTGAATGTAATAATAGTCATACAGTTGTCCTTCAATTTATAGACACAAGAGTTTTGCGGAGTAACTGGATAATGAATGGAATAATTAATTGAATACAGCAGTCATTCCTGCTAAATGTCCTCCTATTTGTCGCATAATGTAAGATACTTATTTACAGAGTGTTAGATGTCGAGTGAGATGGGCTTGGATCAACCTAGGATTCAATCAATCCCACTTGACAACTGAAGTTAGTCAGGCAAAATACTCTCTTCAATGATAATTATTTACTCTTAACCATTTATTATCTAACTATATAATAGCCTTTTTAAGGAACGTAGACATTCTTACATGTTACTGATTAGTTTTTTATTTGTAGCTATATTTCTGAAATAAATGCTCTATATTTTTCATGCTATTCAAAATATTAAATTTACACTAGGCACAAATTCTAACGAGAATTGAAAGAAGGATCTTTTATGCAAATAATTATATGGTAAATTCAAAACTTGTAATTCTGTATCACCAAATATTTTAAAATTAAAATCTTAGTAAAAACATTATGAAATATACTTTGCGTACTTATCACTGCTTTAAATGTGACATGTACTGAAATTCTAAAAAGAGTTACTTTGTTAAGTGTTTCAAACTGTATAATTATAAAAGGATAATAATTAAAAATATTTATATATATATATATATATTAATTTACATTATCATTTAAATAGAGCATTTATTACAGTAAATTAATATAATTGTTAATTCATGTTCATATAAATATTTCTTGCAATTAAATTACATTTGTAATTCAAGTTAAAATAAGCATGCTTTCATTAAAATATGCAACATTCTAGAGCACTTTTGTCGATGAAAAGTACATCATTAAATCTAATATTTGACTCCTCTAGTATATTTTGTACAAAGAACTAGATTTTTGTACTCATCAAAATATTTTAAGAAAATTTTTAAAAGATATATTCAGGGGGGAAATCCTAGAATATTTAAATTTGTTGCAAAATAATTATTTATATACACTATTGCTTGTAAAAAATGCAACACCATGAAGGAATCATTAGAATTAAATGAACTTGGCAGCTAATATCAATTATAGGAGGTTATGTAAAATAGTAAAGTTTCAGAGCCACCGCGCATGCGTTGCGTGAGCAGCGCCCTCTGAACTCATGCTAAAAGCGTTTAAATAGAGGACTGTAGGGAGACGTTGAAGGTAGTTAATAAATATTTGTTAGTGGTGAACGTTTAATGAGACCTAGATATACCTCCACGAAGAAATAAGGAAAAATTCCAACAACTTACGGAGTTGAACGGGGGAGGATTATCGGCCTTCAATATAGAGGGTTTTCCAATCGTGCACTAAGAGCTCGTGCGCAACTAAAAAGTTCCCCAGAGTGATGCCAGTTTGGAAGCAGTGGACCGACGAGCACCGAAGAACTCGAAAAACTGGCAGTGGACAAAGAAAGATGAATTCAGCGCGCGACGATCAACACCTGCTCCGCATGGTGGTGAATGACCGTACAGCTACCCCCAGGCAGTTGGCAGCACATTAGTCTACTGCTACAGGTGTCCTAATGTCGGCTTTATCAATTCGTCGACCTCTGCTGCGTGCCAATGTGCCTTTATACAGGATCCCCTTCACGACAAACCATCGACGGCTGCGACTACAATGGGTTCATGAGTACAGAGCTTGGAAAGCTGATTAGAACCAAGTTCTATTTTCAGATGAAACAGACTTCAATTTGTGGACCATGATGGCTGCATTCGTGTTAGACGCTATGCCGGTGAATGCTGCTTTCCGAGTGTAAACGACATAATAGGCTAACACTCGGAGTTATGATTTGGGATGCGATTTCATATCCCTTTAGGACCCGAATTATTTTTATTTTCAAATATTAAATTCTTCTGGTTATTAGTACTATATGGACTCCAATGATATTGGGAAAAATAAAAAAATTCCCGCTGCCCCCTCCCGTTAGGCGGTGCCCGAACGATAGTGCGGGTTGGGCGTTATCTATGAAACAGGTCCCCCATAAAGTTTTACGAGTTATACATTTTTAGCTCTAATTTGATAGAAAAAACAATCTTAATTCAAATAAAATTGTTACAAATAAGGAAATTATTGATAAAAATTAACTCCTTTATTAATTCATTATTTATTTACTGCGAAAATCTTTTGTTGTGTTTTTGACAAGTATTAAAAAACCATTGCATTTTTCAAAACATGTTTTTGAACTGCTTTCGTAGTTTTAAAATCTGCACTTGCGAGGCCTTGAAATGTGATCAACACATCAAAAACGGCTATACATGTCAAGCCTTTTATCCTGGATTGGACAAAATAAAAGCCATGACATGTATAGCAGGTTGATTATAACACTTCAATCTATTTGAGAGTGATATTACAACACTGTTATCTTCATCATCGGTTAAAATATTTTTGTTAGTAGGTGGAGAGGCTGATAACGCTTCAACTATATCTAAGCGATCCATTTTGATATTTTATGAATTTTATTTGATATTGCATCTTGTTTGCATAGAAATCAAGAATTTGAAGCATCTAAATCAATGTATCGAATGTATTCAAGAGACTATTATAGTAAATAATCACCCAAAATAGTCTTTTCATTGCAAATATTCCCATGTGCTTCTTCATCGCTCTCATCTGAACTTGATTCTCCTTCCAGTATAAGCGATTCTTATGTTTTGTCCGCAGCATTATCATCATCCCAGAGATCCTTAAGTTCTGACATAAGTTCAATACGATTTCTTCATCAATTGAAAAATGACTTCTGTGAGAGTTCTTCTCCTTTTAGACGCCTGAAAAAGTTTTTGGTTAAAAGTTAACACAGTATTCCATGAAAAATAGTAAAATGTACAAGAAAATTTTAATATTTAAATATATATATATATATATATATATATATATATCAATATAAAAGAATTTTTTTCAATATATAATCATATACATATACATACACATATATATATAAATTTAAACATATATATACATATACACAAATACATAAACAAAAATATAAAAATAGACATATAGTTATATACCTAAGATAACTAAAAGTAGGAAGGAGGCACATAGTATAAAGACAAATTCCTGGCCTTAGGAACCAAGATTGCAGGTTTAAACAAGTTTTGTGGAGCCAACCTTCACCTGTAATTTGTCATACTATGTACCAAGGGGAAAGGAAAGGGTTATATATGTAGAATTTAAATATTAAAAATCATTAAACTAAATAACATAGGAACATAAACATAACCTACTAAATCGGAGTTCAAACGATGGCCAAGAGTGCATTAACGTGTTCCCGCCAAATAAGGAGAGTAGAACCGCATAAAGTTAATTGCGATACGATATAAGAAACGATTAATTGCGATACGATATACGATAATAAGAAATATATACATATATATATACTTTTAAAAAATCATAAAAAATAAAAATCATAAAATTAGCGTAAAATATAAAATAGACTCAAAAAAATATATATTAAAATTTTTTTAAAAATAAGCATGTGGCGCCATCTATTTAATAATTGTAGGATAAATTAGATATTGTCTAAATTTAAAAAAAAACATTACAAAACATAATAACAGTAAATAATTACAGTAATACAAATTGTATCATAAAAAAACCATTATAAATATAATTACAAAGAAAGTTAGCAGGGTATCCATGTTCAATACAGTGATTAAAATTTTTTTTTAAGATTTAAAAAAATATTAGCTTT